ACTGAGCCACCCAGGCGCCCCATTGCATTATTTTTTTAAGATTTTATTTCTTTATTTGAGAGAGATGGAGAGAGAGAGCTCGCGTGTGCATGAACGCATGCGCGCAGGAGTTGGGAGGGGCAGAGGGAGAGAGAAAGAGAGAGAAGCAGACTCCCTGCTGAGCAGGGAGCCCGATGCGGGGCTCAATCCCAGGATCCAAGCTGAAGGCAGGTTAATGCTTAACCGACTGAGCCACCCAGGCACCCCTAGATCTTGCATTATTTCTTATTCTCTGTTTTCTTTCTTGTTTCTCTTCTGTGCTACTTATTTGGATTAATAATATGCCCGATTGTGATGAATAATAACTGAGGTTCATGGGACACGGTCATAATCAACCTGCAAGTCTCCTTGTTCCCCCATTCATTCCTACCCACTCTGCCCCCCCATAATGACCCACTCTAATAGGTTGATATGTGTCCTTCCAAACCAACTTTCTCCCTGCTTATTTTATTTATTTTTAAACAAACGGTATTTTATTTTATTAAGTAATTTCTATGCCCAACGTGGGGCTTGAACTCATGACCCCAAGATCAAGAGTTGCACAGTCTACCAACTGAACCGGCCAGGCGCCCCAAATATGCTGCGTGTTTTATTTTTAATTTTTATTTTTTTTAAGATTTTATTTATTTATTTGAGAGACAGAGCGAGAGAGCACAGGGGGGAACAGCAGAGGGAGAGGGAGAAGCAGGCTCCCCGCTAAGCAGGGAGCCCCACATGGGGCTCGATCCCAGGATCCTGAGATCATGACCTGAGCCGAAGACAGACGCTTAACCGACCGAGCCACCCAGGCACCCCTCTGTGTGTTTTAATTTTCAGTCAGTGAGCTTAGCTCATTTGCTTGATTCTAATTTCTGTACTATTAGGGCTTATCTCTGCTATCTTAAATGTCATTTTCTCTTTACCCCATTTTCATTTTATCTCTCTTCAGTCTGTCCTACCTTGCTTTGGATGAACTGACTTTTATTTTCCTGATGTGAAAATTACACAATTTATAAAGTCCATACTGTGTTTAATCATACAATTATAACAGCCCATACTTACGTTTCATTTTCACTGACGATTTCTAAACTCATCAATATCCGTTGTCTTCCTTCCACCACATCTAAAAGCCAAGTACCTTGTGTATTCTCACTCATACGCAGAGAGGTTTCTCCCTCTGCGTTCAAAATCCACGGCGTCATGGAGATACTTTGTGTGTGTTTGTATATGTGTGTGAGTATCCTTGCTTGGATCGACAATGGACTTTTCTACGCTACTATCCATCCTTACTTCTCAGAGCCTGTTGCTCCACCCTGGAGTCATTTCTTTATGAGCTCATGTACACAATTAAGAGAGTTTTTGTGCAGTAAGCTTTTTGATGTCTTAGAATAGCTGTAGTTCACACTCAAAAGTGAGAGTTTAGCAGGGTATAAAATCCTAGGTTCCAGATTCTTGCATTTGTAGTCCAGCAATACAGTGAAAATATTGTCTTCTTGTGTCTGCTGCTGCCGAAAGTTCTAGTTACAGCTGATACTTGCTCATTTGCAAGCAATCTGTTTTTGTTTTTCAGAAAACTTTTAGGGTTTTATCTTCAAGATTCTCAAATTTCACAAAATGTATTTAAGAGTGGGATTTTTACTTTATTTTCTATCCCGTTTGACATTTATGTGAAAACCCTTGCCTGCCTGCCCCTCAGGGAACCTCCTAACACTTCCCTCCAGGCACTTCTCTTTCCTGGCCAGGGGAGGGGGTGCCGCCCCAGGGCAGTGTGGTGCGCAGGGCTGGGGAGGGGTACACAGCTCTGGCAGCCACGACTGGCCTTCTCCCTGCAGTCGCCCCAGCCCGCACTAGATGGCGCTGCTGCCCCCCCACCCCCACCCTCCCGCTTCTGGCCTGCGGTTGGGAGAGAGCCACCGTGATGCACACTGCACAGAGTCTAGTGACAGACAGGCCTAGAAGCTCTCCCTGAGCTGGCCCTCCACCAGTCCTCAGCCCCCTCCCAGTCCAGGCTGCGTTTCCCTCCCACACTGGGAGCCAGTCCTTTCTCTCCCCACGGGTTTCTCATAGCCTGTGGAGTTGGGTCCTGGGATTCATCAACCTCCCTTGGGGACTTCTAGTAACCAGGTGCAGATGGGGATTGTTGAATAGAGGGGGGACCCTCACCTCTTGGTGCCCCCTCCTGCCCCGCTCCATCTGGCGTCTGAGTGGGGTCTTCTGGACTATGCAGGTCAGGAGCCTGTGTCTCTGTCTTCCCTCAGCCCCTTTCCACACTGAGTTCACTTCCTCTTGTCTCCTCTGCAGTCAGACTGGTTCTTCAGCGATGATGAGGACAAGGGAGAGAGAGTAAGTGATGCAGAGGGAGGGCGGGGCTGGGTCTGCGCTGAGTTGGGCCCTCCTCCCAGGCTGGGGGCTGGGAGGGGGCAGGCAGCAAGACTCAAGCAGGGGGAAGGTCCCTGTCTTTGGGGCTTCCCAGGCTGATGGAGGAAACATAGACCCTCTCCTCAGGAGCCTCTAATCTAATGGGAGACACAATCCTTGCCTTCATGAGCCCCCAGTCTAAGGGGGGAGAAACTGAGTCCAAGTCTTATCTGGAGGATACAGGTCTTAGGAAGGTCCAGTCTGATGGGGGAGACACAGCTCCTGCCTTCAGCTGAGGGAGGAGCTCCAGCCTTTGGGGGTTCAATCAAGGTGTTGGAGGAGGCACAAAACAGTCTAATGGGGGACATGTGGGACCTGCCCTCAAGAGTGCCTGACTTATGAGAGAGACAGCAGCTGCCCTGGTGAGCCCTGGTCTGATGGAGGAGTCATGGGCCCTGCCTTCAGGTTACCCCAGTTTGCGGGATCCACAGTCTGGCCCTCTGAGGGCATGCTGGCTGACCCTCCTCCTGTTTGCAGACTCCTGTGGATGACAAGGAGCCTCAGTCAGTGCCCAACATTGAGTACCTCCTGCCTAACATTGGCAGGACAGTGCCCCCTGGTGACCCAGGTTCAGGTGAGTGCAGGGGCTTGGGAAGGGGTGGGGGGTGGGGGTGGGATCCGCATTCCCCAGGGTCCCAGATGCCTGGCCAGATGCCCAGCTTCCCTGCTCTGCCCCAGTGGGGCCCTTCCCTGCCCCCCACCACCAAGACTGGGCTGTGGCAGGGCCTTCTCCGCTCTAGGGAGGCCCGGCTTGCCTGTGCGCCCGCCTCCTTGTCTGCTCAGCGGACCCCGGGGCTGGGTAGGGGCTTTGTTCGCCCTCCTTCACTGGTTTCCTTCCTGAGCTTTTTGTTTCTCACGGGCTGTGTCCTTCTGGGCATATTTCCTCTTTTTAATTTTTCTTCCTTTTCTCCTTGCACCCCTCCACCCTCCTCTCTCTTTTCCCTGTGCTCTCCTCCCGCCCCTGGACCCTGCCCCTCTCTTCTCTCCTTCCCCTCCTCCAGCGGACCTGTTGGAGATTTAAAGGGTACAGTGTGGCATTGCGGCCTCGGTCACTAACAGTGGCGGGTGATTATAAGAAGGCTGGGCAGGCCCGAGGGGCAGGCAGAAAGGTCCCGGGCTGTGAGCACCTCGACGTGACATACCAGCTCCCCACGCTTGTTAACAGCTTACCCCCACCCTAACCCTCCCATCTGAAAGCCCCTTCTCAGGAGGAAGGAGGTTTGTTGGAGGCAGATCCTATCCCCTTGCCAGGAAGTCTGGGCACCACAGGCTGCCCCCCACAGTCCCCAAACTCTGGCCTTCTCTCTGTGCCGAGCCCGGCCACTTCGTGTTATCCGGACAGGAGGAGGCTTGGCTGTAAGGAGGACCCAGCCTGTCTAGACACGGGTGACGTCACCCCCAGAAGCCCCTCTATAGCTGCAGCTCCTGCCTCAGTTGCCTCCGAGGGCTGGCTCTTCCCGCGTCCGAAACCAGAGCCCCTGGTCACTCAGCCCCTTAGTCCTGTTTCTGAGCATAGAGCCTCGAACAGAGTAGCCCAGAGCAGTCCCTTCTTGGCTCAAGGCACTAACTTGGCCCGCCCCATGGAGGAGCTCCCCTTAGTATTTTGACTGCTGCTCCTGTCTCTGACGGAGGCATTCCACAGCACCCCTAGTTCCCAGAGGCAGGCTGAGGAGGGGGCCAGAGGACAAGGTGGGAGGGGGTGGCAGAGAGGAGCCCCCCGTTTCTTCTAATCACCTGCTGCCGCACCCCTGCCCCGTGTGTCTCACTGTGTGGTCGGCCATCTGCTCTTCTCACCGTGTGCAGGGGAGGGCTGGGGAGGAGGACTCACTTGCTTGCCAGAGTGTGGATTAACTGTGCCCGCGCACTGCCCCATCAGACCCCGGGAGGTCCTTAGATCAGCCTGGAGAAGACCCCGCCAGGATTGGTTTCTGGTTCCTTCTCCACCCCAATGATATTAAGGGAGTGGGACCCAAGTCCCACGGATGTAAAAGTTTTATTCTTCTTCATAACTCTGGTAATAAACAGGGGCCTTGCCCCATCAGGGCAGATTGAGCTGGAGTCTGGAGCTGGAGCTTAGCAAGGCCCAAATCACCAGCCCACTCTACCTCCTGTGTCCCGCCCACCTGCTGTCTGCCCCTGTACTCCATCCTACACAGGGTCCGTCGTCTTCCTCCTGTCCTGGAGTTGGGGTGGGGTGGAGGTAGATGTAGGGCCCCCACCTGTCTATGCACTGTGTGGTCTCCATTCCTTCAGAGCATCTGTGATTTGCTGTGTTTCATTGTGGTTTCTGTGGACTGCATCTGATATTTGGCATTTTCTCTCCAGTGCTTCAGAGTAACAGGGACAGGAGGGGAGGGGAGAGGAACTAGGCCCAAAGAAAAGCCCCCCCCACCCCCCACCGCTTGCCCTTGACCCTGGCAAACGAGGGTCTAGGGACTGGCAGCCTGATGTCACTTCCTGCCTCAAAAGGAAGTGGTGATTGACATCATTAGCCGCTCCATCCCTGTCCCACAGGAAATGACATCAGAAGCCCTTCACACTCCTAGGGCCTGGGGAGATCTCAGGTGTCTGAACTCCCTGGTTTCTGAAGCCTCTGAGGAGAGGGAATCGTGTTCACGAGACAGCCTCCTCCTGCCCCAATTTAACTTTCATTTTTCTTTCTCGCTCTCCCCAACAGATTCCACCACCTGCAGTTCAGCCAAGTCCAAGGTGAGTGCCAAAGCCATTCTGAAGGCTTTATCCCTGTCCAGGCCCGCCTGCTCTTTGCTTTTTGGTCAAGGGAATTGGGAGAAGTGCCCGTGGCCCTGAGGAAGGTTGCTGGTCACTGGGAAGGCGGGTGGGAAGGAATGTGTGTATGAGGTCAGCAGAGAAGCTACTCACCTTGGCAGGGCTTCGGGAGGCGTCTGGGGGAAGGGAAGGATCTGGCTTGGGAGTTAGGCGCCCGGGGGGCAGCGTGCCCAGTGGTCAGAAGCACACACAGTCCTGGGACTGAGTCCTGGCTCCACCACTCAGTAGCTTCGGGACATCGGGCAAGTTGCTTAACCTCTTTGTGAACCTCAGCTTCCTCGTCTGTAAATGAGGCCTGATATTTATCCCCATTTATGGGGATATGGGAATGGACAGATACGTCTGCTACAATAACTATGCTTTTTGGAGAGCCCAAAGCAAGCAGAAGGAAGGAAATAATAAAGACAAGAGCATCAATCAATGAATTGAAAACAATCAAGAAAATCAATGAAACCAAAGCTGGTTCTTTGAACCAGCTCTCACAGCCAGCTAGTCCTGGCTGCTCCGGAGCCTGCCTTCTGAGACAGAGCCATTAGGCGAGCACGGCTGCCCAACTCTTAGAGCTGGATGGCCAAGGGAGTTGTCTTAGTCAGCTCGGGCTGCCGTAACTAAATGCCACATACTGGGTGGCTTACACAACAGACATCTATTTCTTCACAGTTCTCGAGGCTAGATGTCCAAGATCAAGGTGTCAGCATGGTCAGTTTCTGCTGAGAGCTCTCTTCCTGTCTTGTGGATGGCTGCCTTCTCGCTCTGTCCTCATAGAGCAGAGACAGAGAGCAACAGCACCAGCTCTCTGGTGTCTCTTTGTGTAAGAACACCAATGCCACCATCAGGCCATGACTGCATTACCCGCCAAAGGCCCCATCTCCAAATACACGGGGGTCCCGGCTTGCTTCAGCAGATGGCTTCCGGGAGGGGGACACAATTCTGTCTGTAGCAGTGGGTGAAATCACTAAACATTGGTGATCGAACTGGACTCATTTCGGTCTGGGTCTCCAAGCACTGGCCAGGTCCCAGTGAGCCCAGTGTGCCCGACACCAAGTAGATGCTCATTATATATCAGAAGAATATAGTGGGGGTGCGGGGCGCCTGGGGGGCCCAGTCGGTGAAGTATCCAACTCTTGATTTCGGCTCAGGTCGTGATCTCGGGGTCGTCAGATAGAGCCGCGTGGTGGGCTCTGCGCTGGGCGTGGAGCCCGCTTGGGATTCTCTTTCTCCCTCTCCCTCTGCCCCGCCCCTCCCCTCCCTACCTGCATGCTCGCTCGCTCTCTCTCAAAAAAAAAAAAAAAGAAAGAAAGAAAAAGAAGAAGAGTGTACTGGGCAGAAAGAAAGAAGGCTGCTTTAGTCTGGGACAGGGGTCCCTGCAACCTCTCCATAGAACCTCTGACTGCACACCTGTGGGGCAGGGAGCTCACTCCATCAGAAGATTGCTGTGACAGGGAGCAAGTTCATTACAGTGACCTGCACCTAGCTCCATGTTACTTCCACCCATTGCTCCTGCTAGCCTCCTGGCTTCCATAGCCTCTCCTGGGCTGACCCCTTGACCTTTCTGTGCACGTACTGACCTCTGCATTCCTGGAAGGGACCATCATGACCTCACTGCTTCTGTAACTAGCAGGAGGAGAGGATAATTCGATCAGATGGTCCTAGTGGCCTCTCAAGTCTCTCCAAGAGCATTGGCCAGACGAGAAAGTGGCACTGGCCACCCTGTGCCTCGGGGAGATCACAGCAGAGCCCCCATATTGCACAACTCCAGGGATTGCCTTTGGGAGCCGTGTTGCCAGCCACGGCCCGGGAGCCACGTGCCTCTGAATCCTGACTCCCTGACGTGTGTCACCTTTCTCAGAACTAGCTGATGTGAGAGAGAGTATGTAGATTGCAGGGGCGAGGCTTCTCTGGGTCTCCATTCAGTATTACGCTGTGGCTGAACCAGGTGGCCTGGGAGGAGGGGTCACAGGGCAGGCCATTCCAGCCCAGCAGGGGGAGCAGTTTCAGCCTCTGCTTCCGCAGGGCTTCCTGTGTTGAGGGGACTGCATTCACCCATGTGTCCTTCACTTAACATTTATTGAGCACCTGTCACGTGCCAGGCATGGAGCTAGGGGTCATGGATGCAAACACAAATAAGCCACAGACCTTGCTCTCAAGGAGCTCAGAGTGTGATGCAGATGACGTGGAAATAGACCTATCCTGATGGGAGAAGAGCAGGTGCAGCTGTGTCTTCAAAGGGCGAGGCGACGGCTGGGAGGCGGCCGCACGGAGGCTGCCATGTTTCAGCTGGGCCTAGTAGGAGGATTTAGAGCACACCCAGCACATAGGGTGGGCTGGGGGGCGGTGGCTAAGGGCTGCCAGTGTTAAAATGCAGGTGAGTCTGGCCGGAGTGTAGGCTGGGCTGGGGTTGGGGTTGGGGTAGGGAGGGCCATAGGCTGGGAAAGTTGGGACCAGATTGTGAAGGGCCCTGTGTCTGAGCTTCATCCTGGTGGGGGTGGAGGGGCCCTGCAGAGTCTGGAGGTGATCAGATTCCCACCTAGTCTTAGAAGGACTGATTGCTCTAGGGGAGGAGGGACTGGGGTAAGGCAAAGGTGGAGGCAGGGAGTCCTATCAGGAGAGGGCAGAAAGGCCCAGAAAAGGCCGTGTGAGGGCCTGAAAAGACGATGGTGAGGATGGGCGGGCTTTGTGAGTCACTTCAGGGGCATTGAGAAGAAGCAGGGGAGAGGGAGGAGGCAGAGAATCACCTTAAGATGGGGACCGTGCATGCAGGTGGTTTGGGGCAGGGCGTGGGGGCATAGTGCAGTTGCAGATAGGTGAATTTCTGGTGCCTGCAGAAACCTTGCTTGAGAGGGTCTTGCGGTTGGAAGAAGAGTTCTGGAGTTCAAGGGGTAGTTTGGTGTTGGCCGGTGATGGGCAGCGTGGGCTCGGCTGGGGCATCCGGGAAGGCTAGGACAAGAAAACACCCACAGGGCTGAGCAGTGAGAACGGGGCAGGAAGGTGCCCAGTGTGGGGTTGGAAATCAGTGTTTGGGAGCAGCATCCATCCAGACCATCGGATTGTGCAGGATCGTGTGGCCACTCCTGGCGGCAGAGCTGACGGCTGCGTGGATGTGGGGATGCGGATTGTGGGTGGCACGCTGGTGGATTGGCTGAAACACCCGCCCGTGGGCTGCAGTGGGAAAGGGAAGTGAACTTGGGCCTATTGCCCTGGAGAGGCCCATACATACGGAGTAGGAGGAAAGGCAGGTTTCCCAGGTGGGGGTGAGCGGAGATGGAAGGGGTAGAAGCCGCGGTCGGAGGGAGGTCCCCGCCAGGATCTGGTGGTTATCACCCGGGACAGTCTAGGTGAAATGGGTTCAAACTGTCAAGTGTATTCCCCGTTGAGAGACTCTTACCACCAGAGCCGTGTCTAAAAGGCTTTCGCTAGCGCTGGGCATGGGGAATGGAGTGGAAGGTGGGCGGAGGTGAGGGACCGGCGCCCAGCTCCCAGGAAAGAGCCGAGAGTCTCTGGATTGAGGCCAGAGCAGCTGCCGAGGGGGCTGCGGGGTTGGCCGGCTCCGCGGTGGGGCCGGGTGGGTGGTGACGCTGCCGCGGGCACAGCCGTCGGGGAGGAGCGGCGGGGGCGCGGGGCCGGACCCCCTGCGGCTGGGTGCCGCGGTGCGGAGGCGCCTCCTGCATTCTGGCCTGTCTCCCGCGCAGGGCTCGTGGGCCCCCAAGAAGGAGCCGTACGCCCGGGAGATGCTGGCGATCTCCTTCATCTCGGCGGTCAACCGCAAGCGGAAGAAGCGGCGGGAGGCGCGGGGGCTGGGCAGCAGCACCGACGACGACTCGGAGCAGGAGGCGC